TATAACACTATTAACAGCCGGCCTTACAGCTCGGAGATCGTATTATCACGTGATTGGACACGGCTTTAGACGTTCCCTATAAATAGACATAGTCTGATCAAAAATCTTATTGTCTAATTGTTTAATTATCTATTATATCTAATGTCTGTTTGTCTAATAACTATCAATTGTCTATTATATTATATAGCCAGTTTATGATATTTAAAATTAACCAATCAGATTACTTTAAACTATATACTGTACTGTATATTTGTCTATCTAATGGTTTGATTAGACCATTAGATTGTCTATTGAGTCTATTGGCTTGTCTATTGTCTATTTACAACCCTGCACAATATGACCATAGCGAGGGCTAACTGTATATACTTATACTATATATTCTACTGTAGCTTAAAATCATTAATGATTTAAGGATATTACTAAAACGCACCTATGGTGTTTTACACCTAGGTATGTATGTATGAGTGTCGTTAAAAGAAAGCCCGAAAATTTAAATATAAGTCATATTTAAATTTTCGGGTTTACACTCGTATTATCTCAAAAACTGGCTAATTAATCATTGTGAGATATTTTAAGTAAAAATGTTCTATGCTCCTTCCCAATCTCTAACTCTAACTGCAAGTACTAACCTTAATGTAAAAAAATTTGGGTTAAAAATTTTATATATAAAAAACTTATAAAAATTTAGAAAAATTAATAAAAACATATAATAGGTGCATTTTATAATGATTGTAATTTAAATATAACTTTTAAATCAGTATATATAAATACGTATATGCACTAGAGTTCCAATCCATGAATCATTTATCCGGTTATCTATTAGATATCCAATATTTGATGGATAATTGAATAAAGTAGATTAATGAATGAATAGCAGAATTATCTAATAAATTATACAAGTTCTAAAATAATCAACAATATAAATTCATTTGACAATTACAGTGATCAATAATATAAATTAGAGAAATTCTATTTACATGCGGGTGAAAATAGAAGTTCTCTAATTTATATTGTTGATTATCTTAGAACTTTGTAATCTTTAATACATCGAATAATTCAACCATTTTGAAAAACAATAACAAATATAACAAACCTAGTCTGGCTAATATTTTTTTACTAACATCTTCTTTTTCGTCGTTTTTGTAGTTTCTTCGTTGTATTTGCAATGGTTCTTCCGTTACTTTGACGTTTAATAACATTAATTTCATCGTTTTTGTGGCGTTGCGTTTTCGTTTCTAACATTTTAGCTATGGTTTCTGTGGTGGTTCTTTATCAATTTAATTTAGCCATCTTACCCATCTTATTGGTTATTCCATTAAAAAAAAAAATAAATTAAAAAAAAATAAAACAACATAAGAATAACAAAATAAAAATAATAAAATAAGAACCAAAAAAAATAAATTAAAAGTTTTCATAATTTCTGGGACACCTGTAAAAAATTAGCCGAATGATTTTCGGCCGATCCGATTAAGTTATTATTTCGGCATAATAGATTCAACAAAAATTGGTACGTACGTAAGTACAGTCCAATTTTTATTGCACGGGTCCGTGCAATAATATGGTTATTACAGTATATGGGTCATAGAAAATAACTAAATTTGCAAGGTTAACCTATGTCTTCGGCTATGTAACGGTTAACCCGTGCAGATTTAGTTATTTTACAACCCATGCAATACGTACGTACGTACTTACGTATGTACCAACTTTTACTGAATCTATTATTATTATGCCGAAATAATAACTTAACCGGATCGGCCGAAAAATCATCCGGCTAATTTTTTACAGGTGTCCCAGGAATTATGAAAACAGCTGTAAAAATATATAATTTTTATACTGTATATAAAATTTGGCCGGCCGGATACATTTAGAAGCCTCATGTTATGAAACCAAGACATTAGCCTAATCTGAAAATTTTTTATTATAAAAATCCAATTTAAAAAACATTAATTCTGTGATTAACCCAAACTACCCGATACCGACAAAAATTGTAAACCCTAGGTCTACGTTAAGAACCTTCTTTAGGATCGAACATATTCATAGACTGACCTAAATCCTCCAGCTAATTAATTATTAAAAAATTATTATTTCATACTAAACACCTGACAAATATAATAATTATAAACGGTTATAACTAACCTTTCCTATTAAATTATTCAAATTTGACATCAAATTATTTAGATCATGTTCTTTTTTTGCAAATTTTTCTGAATTCTTTTTGAAATTTTCTTCTGAATCTTCAGCTGTTTCTTTGGCAAATGGCCTTTAAAGATTATAATCGATTATTTAAAATTATAAGAAATGGAAATTAAAAATAATTAAAACTTTGGATAATAATGAATAATATACATTTCTTCATCCGGCAAATTTTCCAAGGAAATATGTTCAACAGCTAAAGATATTTGTTTTTTACGTATTTGATCCAATTCTTTAAATATACTATCCGAGTTACGGCCTATACAATAAACTTGTTAAGTATAAATTGAATGTTATGGCAATAGTATGTATTGAGAAAATATATTTACCGGGTGTGGGTGTCTCTTCGTTCGCAAATATTTTATCCATTCTTTTAAACTGTATAGGAACTAGTATGTAACCCGTCGCTTACGCTGACGGGCTATTGTTATAGATTTTATACTTTAAATAAGAATATATATATAGTATTAGTAAAATGACAGTGCATATGGTAAGATACACAGGTTGTACGTCAAATTAAAATATGCATCAAATCAAAATAATTATAATGCCGCTAATACCTAACATAGGGCTTCACCCTAACCCTAATGAAACTCAACGTACATACAAAACATTTTGTAAGTAATTAAGTTACAATCAGGCACAGCATTGAAATTTGATCTGACACAAATTTCAATTTGGCGTGCAACATAAATATCGAATACAAATATGTTACGCAGAATCACCCTAAAAGTGCCGTGAGGTCACTTATGGTTTCATTGATTATTTAGTGCCACATATTGACTCTTCCGTTGTATATTAGTAACTTGCTAGCATGTTCGTATTTAAGATGTATTTTTTTTTTAAAAAAAAAAAAAAATAGTGATTGTAATCCAATACTGCAATATATATACTATTAAACCTAGTTACTGCGCCATAAACTACGTCACAGAACTTTTAGGTGCCTCCCTTGATAATTCTATTACGTGAATATGCAAGGGGTGGTATTGTGACGCAACGAAGTTTCAAAATTAAACTTTCGCTTGTGTAACATATATACTTTGGTGTGTAACCATTATACTTTCGTTGGCGTGTAACAATTTAATAGTTTATGCAAAGTATAAATAATCAGTGGAAATGTCCCTTAATTTTTTGTGTAACATATTTTACTATAAGATCTGCATGCAACATTTTACACATTTTATAAGAAAAAAAGCAAATTATAATATAGTAGGCTCACAACATTACAATTTATCGCATATTTGTATTATAATGTTTATAACACATAGAGTCTTTCTTTCTTTAATGATAAGCTTAAAATCCTTAATGAATTAAAAACTGAAAAAGATCTTTTATTTAAAAATAAATAACAATACCTTATTTTTATTCTATTATGGGATTCAAGATTGTCAAAAATCAATAGAGGTGAAGTTTGTTAGTAAATATTTGTTTTTGGAAATAGTTATAAAAATGAAATTGGAATTAAAGAATGAGTATAAATAAGATATACTAGTAAATATATGCACTAGCAGCTGCTATAAAAATGAAATTAGAATTTTAAAATATAAGATATTTCAGTAGTAATGAGCATGTTATAATTCTTCTAGTTTAATTCTAGCATTAAAATATTTTTTTTGTTTTTGTTGTAACTTCTTGGTATTAATTCAAGCTTCTTTTTGTAATGCGGCCATTCTTTCTATTAGTTTGTAGATTCTTTGTAATATACTATCCTGGAGGTCGATTTCTATATCAATTGATAGAGTAGCTTGTTTATTATATACTAATTAAAAAGGCGTATAATCAGTGGTAGTATATCTTTTAGTTCAATATGCCAAAAGAATAGTAGGTATATGTATATTCCATTCATCAGTTCCTTTAACCTTTGCAAGTAATTTGCAAAATGTTCTGTTAAGGTATTCAATCATTCCATTAGTCTGTAAATAGTATAATAAAAAGAACTTGTGCTTAATAAGAAACTTTTTATATAATATTCAGATAGTTTTACTAATAAAGTTTCTTTCTTGGTCTGATAAAATTATCTGTAGATATAGAACTCTTAAAATAATTTTATCAGACCAAAAAAGAAATTTTATTAGTAAAACTATCTGAATACTATGTAAAAAGTTTCTTATCAAGCAC